TGGGGCTGTGTGCTGTACCAAAAGAGTGTACGGAGATTTCCTGTTCCGCCTAGTAGGTTACTGCACAGACATATCACTAGAAAAACTGTTCCTGAAGTCACCTGGACAGATTTTGTTTCTGGTCATATACATTCGGAGGAATGCTGTAGTCTTCAGTACTATTCGTTGGATTGTACAGGCAATGGGGGGGGGGGGGAATCAGACCCTTCAAGCAATTGCAGTCATTCATAACTGTTGTAAGACGTGCCTCAAAAAGTCTGTCATGAATTCCAGGGGACCAAGGCACTTGTTTCTTTTTAGACTAGACTCTGACACTACAGCAAACCTAAGAAAAATCCCCAGGAGTGTTTGTAGACATAGTGGCCACACAGTGCAGAGTGCTGGTGCCACAGGTATCATAGAATCATAGAATGGTTAGGGTTGGAAAGGACCTTAAGATCATCTAGTTCCAACCCCCCTGCCATGGGCAGGGACACCTCACTCTAAACCATGTCACCCAAGGCCCCGTCCAACCTGGCCTTGAACACTGCCAGGGATGGAGCATTCACAACCTCCCTGGGCAACCCATTCCAGTGCCTCATCACCCTCACAAGAAAGAATTTCCTCCTTATATCCAATCTAAACTTCCCCTGTTTAAGTTTTAACCCATTACCCCTTGTCCTATCACTACAGTCCCTAATGAAGAGTCCCTCCCCAGCATCCCTATAGCCCCCCTTCAGATACTGGAAGGCTGCTATGAGGTCTCAACGCAGCCTTCTCTTCTCCAGGCTGAACAGCCCCAACTTTCTCAGCCTATCTTCATATGGGAGGTGCTCCAGTCCCCTGATCATCCTCGTGGCCCTCCTCTGGACTTGTTCCAACAGTTCCATGTCCTTTTTATGTTGAGGACACCAGAACTGCACACAATACTCCAAGTGAGGTATCATTCAGGTATGGTTCAAATGTCAAAAGACTGTGAGGTTGGAAATGGTAACGACACTTTTTTTGCTAGAGCAGATAATTGCCTGTATCTCAAGTCCTGCGACTAACTTGATAGAAATGTAGTCTTCTGCCCAGATCCAGCCCAGATCAAACTTGTCTTGGTGAGCAGTCTGCTGGTGGAGAGACCCAGAGCCTGTTGCTGTGAAACCCTGGTGTGAGGCCATTATACCCCTCTCCTCCCAGTATCAAACATCCTAGTTTTATGACACGTGCAACAGATGGTACAATAGAAAGACAGAGCTGTTGGTTCTCTGCCTGTCACCTGAAAGCTGTCTGTCTGGCATGGAAGTAGCTTCTCAAAGATAGGCTTCCTGCTTTTCTCATGGTCAGACCACACTATAGAGAAAGGATTTATTAAAACACAAATGGGAGAGAAGCGGGAGGGTCCTGGGGAGCCTGGGATGGGGTAACTTTTCCTTGAAATAGTGCAATTAGGTTGTGTTAAGATCAGACCCTGTCATGGAAAATTAGCCCTGAAGACAACTTTGAGAGATCATTAAAGTATCTTTCCATCTGAAGGAAAGTGCAGCTATAATGGCATAATCCTTAACAGAGGTGTATATAACTTCTCCATAAAGGCTTGAAGTTGAGGCCTCAAAGATTAAATTAGCATTAGCAAGCTATAGCAATGAGCAGCTGTGATTACTAGAATTAAGCCTGTATTCTAAGGAGCTGGAACAATTAATCATCATTTTAAAATATCAATGTGTAGGCTAATTAGCCAAGCCACAAAGCTAATTCAGAATTAAGCTCTGGAGAAAGGTGAGACAGTAACTATCCTGTTCTGGCTATTTTTATTTTCCCCTCCTTCAAAACTGAGCTCGCCCTGTGTCTTTTATGATACCAGATTGACTAAAGATACATAACATCTTAACACCTTTTGGTAGTGGGGAAGGAGGAGGATTGCAGTCAGAAATGAAGGCATCCAGCCTCGTTTTAACTGCAAGTTTCCTTCTGCCTTATATTACATTGGGTGGAGGTGAGCAGGTGGTGTGTGGTAAGGTAGTAACTAGTTAAGACTCTCTAACTTCTTACCTGCCTTAACTTAGAAGCCATTAAGCTCCTCTCAGTGGGTTTGCAAAAACTGCTGCTGAAAATCTGTATTTATTACTAACTTGAGTCTATTTAGTGTAAGTATCTGGCCAACAGGTTTTGTCTGTTTTGTGCTTACTATGGCCTTCTTTTAGCAGCCTCTCCTTCCAAAATTGCTGAGGGATGTATGAAGAAAATTATCTGTGAACGGTAGTCTTGACTTCAGAACTGGGTCATGAGTTACTGTGAGAATTGGTCCTTAAAACTAAACTGTCAGCAGGAATCATTGAAATTGCTAGGAGATACACTGTTTGAAAACTCAGCTTCTTTTTACCTGCACAACTTCTTGTCAAGCTCTGTGAGGATTTGATTCCAAGCCCAGTACAGCCAAAGGAGATGACTGTTTGTGCTTCAGGAAGGCTGGGATTTGGACATAAGTTAGGCTTGCTTTATAGCACAGATGTAATTCTATCACATACCTTCATCTCTCTCTCATATTTCGCTCTAGAGCCAAAGTAGTTAAGGCCACAGGATTCTGAGCTGAGTGCGTCTTTTACAGATATAAATCCGTTTTCTAAAACGGGAAAAAGAGAAGTATACTGTGACTGACAGCTCAATCTGAGCTTTGCATCTAAGCAAAACCCCAGTCCTCGTGCAAGGCAGGAAGTGAATTGCAGAGCTTCAGAAATAGCACAGAAACCTACATTCTGCTTGCAAATGCACTGTTCATAGCTCCCACAGGGGCTGTAGCTCAACCCCGTGCAACAAAGGCAGCAATCTGGGTGTGGAATAACACGTAAAAAACTGTGTTATGATGTACACTCACAATAAGGCTGCCTTACAGCAAGTATGAAATCTTCTAATTGCTTGGAGTATGTGTTGGAAGGTTGCCTTAATGCAGAGAGTTTGCATGGGAATGGAGCTGAGTGTGGCAAGAGCGGGATGTAGAAGGATCAGCCTGGTCCCATGAACCTTCAGTTCGGTCAGGCCTAGTTCATGCTAAGGGGAAGTGAGTCAAAATCCAGCACCTTTGGCTGAGCATGGGAAGCAAGACCTGGCATTTATGGCTAATAAGAGGGGTCAAAAGTAGTTCTGGGCAGGTTGGGCTCCATCCCCCAGTCTGTTTTGCTTTGGTTTCTTTCTATTACAGTGGGACTGGGTTTAAATTACAGTGGGTGTGTGGAGTGAAGTCTGACTCTTAAAATGACCCAGAAAAGAGGTTCAGCTGACCCTGTATGCTTTTTCCCAGTTTCCAGGGCTGCCACTTCCTTTCTTTGCAGAATTCTGTTATTTCTAAGGTACAGCATGAGCAAGAACACAAGTGTACACAATATGTATAAATGCATGCCTGCAGATTACTTTGGTAGTGGTGACATCACAGTATGTGATAGTGCACGGAAAGGGCCAAGCTGAAAACAAACCAGCTGTCAAATCCTGACATCCCATGTCAGTGCTAAATCAAGAACACAAGCTGGATTGTGCCTTGTATGGTCTGGTGAGGGAATTCGCATGGAGCACTGACATGCTGGCTGCAACTATGGGAGGCCTGCTGGCATTGTGCAGATGAGCACAAGCACACCCTTCCTCTTAACCCACTGTGCAGAATCCAGGGCATTCTCAAAGTATTGTGCAAGGTACAGCTACATGTGCATCATCCATGTCTGGTGCATTGCTTCTAGGGGCCAGTGGGAAAGCTGAGTCCAAGTGTCCTCACTAGGCCATTGACAATTGGAAAGGATTGGAGAGGTGTTAGGAAGACGTGTTCTAATTCCACCAGTGAGGCACAGGTTGTTTTTTTGCACCAGTGATGTCATTTGCTGCATCAACAGGCTGCTGAATCTACCAGCATCTATTCAGGGAGTGTTAAGACCACAGGGGATTGAACTGCTTTTTTGAAAGGCATGAGTTTCTAACACTTATGGAAGACTTGTGGATGAAATGAGAAAAATCCTGACATTTCTAGAGAAGCAGTTAGAAGCAAGAGGCATAGGCACATGCATGCTGTTGTATTCTGTCATCGTGTTTAACGTAGTTCATAATTAATGTGTGTGTGTGTAAATGCACATCTGTTTGTTAAGTACTTCCTCTACTTATGATCCTAGGAGTTTTCTTGTTAAAAATGAAGAAAATATTTTATTTCATATCACCTATATTTGCAATCCCATTGCAAGAGAATGTTTTGTGGTAGCTTCTGTTAGTGCATCTCAAGAACAAATATCTGAATATGGTTTATTCAAATATACCAAGCACATTTGGTGGCAATGATGGAAATAACAAACCTTTTAGAATGTCACTTTTTAGTCGCCTGAACAGAAAGTAAACAAGCCCCTTGTTCACTCCCACCTCAAACAATAAGAATCTGGAAATTGTTTTAAATGCTGGAAAACACCCATAGGAGACACAAAATGGAGAAACAGTATTGTCAACTTTCCCGAATGATTAATCCTGGATTTTAAACTAGACAAACAAAGTTTCATCTCAGACAGTAATTTTCAGAAAATCACAACTAAATGAGAGGACAGCTTTCCACCAGCCCAGTTGAGTTTTTATTTCCATCTGTACTGCATGGTACCCTTTTCTGTGATTAATCCCGGGGGAGAACTCGGTGTGAGGCAGGTTACGGGGAAACCGTCAAATGAAAGCAGTTTTGCATCTTTTAAAACACAGCTATTTTACTACAGAAAGTGAAGGAGGCAAGCACAGGATATTTGATGGCTGGACTTCTACCCCCACCAGCATACAATGGCAGAGCTTAGATTTGGGCTGCGGGGGGGGGTGGGTACTACCACCCTTACTTAGGTGGAGCCACACAAGAATGTCTACATCCCAGGCTACAAATGGGAATAACTTGTCATCAGCCAATTCCATCAGTAGGAGAAGGCTTGTACTTCTTTTCTTACTGTGCATAATAGTTTTCCCTGCCAACAGCTTCATTGATCAAGGTTTAAATGCAGGCAGGGAACTGACATTTGCTGTCCTCTCCCCAGAAAGAGAAATGCTGGCTCTGCAACCTCATGAATGAAGGAAAAAAATGAAATCACCTTGCTCCCCTTCTGCAAAGCAGTCATTAACCTCGCTAACAAGGAAGGAGGTGCTTTTTTTAAGCCCCATGCCTGAGGGATTATACATGCAATTACTCTTAATGTCAGCATTGATGTTTCTGAGTAAGTATGTACCCTCCTGAAAACATATCCCAAGCAAGCAGAGGTTCTGACTATGCAGATTTATACCAAGAGAATGGAGGAGAACATAGGTTACAAAATAAAGGCCAAGCCAGCCCTGTTTATGATAAAGGGATATCTATATGATTTCATTCATAAAAGTAAATTTCAATGAATATACATACATATATATAATACCGCATGAAAACCAAAAGGCTACTCACCAGTACTTTAATATTGTGCCTTAATAAAACAACACTTTCCAGATCCAGTCATGACTTTAAGCCAGATCATGGCTAAAAATATTAAGGAAAGGATCACCACAGCAACAGTCACATCGCTCCCCTTCTGCAGAAGAAATGGAAAAACACTCAAACTTTGCCAACCTGAATAAATTATCCAGATTATCAGAACTGTAAGGAAAGCTGTGTGTAGCCAGCTCTTTGTGCTTGGGTGCCAGTGAGAGTATGCACATGTGTTAAATGGATTGCAGCCCGCTAAATACATATGTCAAAGGGGACAGCTATGAAAATACGCCCAAGAGAATTACAAATTACCATGGTTGTACCTTACTTGACCAGCAGATATGTGCAGCGTGGTGCTCACTGCAGCACTGGGGGACTCCCATCCAGCTGCCTCTGGGGGCATGGAGATGGGATGGAGGACACAGGTTCTCTCTTGCTCCTGCTTCAGTGTGAAGCCAGAAAATGGCTAACATGCTCACCCTGATTCAGAAGCCCAGACTCACTCTTGCTTCAGGCTGGCAGTTGTTTTGTGTTGGTCACAGTTTGCTTTGCCAAAGAAAATCATCTCATTATCCAGGAAGGGAAAAACAGGGTAAAAGTGGGGAGGGGGGCAGGAGAAGTATTGTCACTGGTTGGCTTTACCCACCTTCTGCAGGCATCTTCACTGGAAGACTCCTTTTACCAAGCTTCCTGTATGGTCATCAAAGAGAAGCTGGCTTTTTTAGAGGCAACCCAAGGAAAGGACGTGACACAGGATAGCGGTAATGATGTCAAGATCTTTAGCAAATTCAGTATGCATCAATGACTTTAAAGTCATGTTAGGGAAGCCCAAAAGCATGTGGCTTTTGAGAACAGGAATTCAAGGCAAATCTTGGAGTGCAAAGGCTGTGTGCTTCCATTCCTGGCTCTAACACTTGTTCAGCTCTTTGTTGGTCTGGTACTAAACTCTGGATTGTCAGCCAGCCAGCGAGCTGCCATCGCTTTCTGGCTTGGATTTCTAGCTTGAAACGGCCTTCAGTTTTTCTGGGATCACACATTTTAAACAAACTGTGTGACTGGTCTGTGTCTTCAGCCTTTTGTTCTTTTGAGGCTCACGGATGTTTTGCTAAGGAGGTTCATGCTCCTGCTGAAAAAAAAATTAGCCTATTCATAGAAGACTTGCTTTTTTTTCTTAGTTTTCTTTGCAAGCCAGTGCAGACTGGGCTCAGTTAGATGAGCTAAGTAATCCCAGTGGTATCCTGGCCCCAACTGGAGCATCTACCAAATGGTGGGTCCAGCATATACTGTAATGTCGGTGCAGACTGAATTCCTGTAATGACCCATACCTGATGGTAATGTGCCTGAAAAATGGCTAAGATGACTGCTGTCAGAGGCGTATGGGGCTTTCTCCTGACTTGCAGTACATGCTCTTCAGGGTCTTTGGGTGCCAGTGGCAGAGGTGTACATGAAAAGCAGGAAGTTTGTTTGATCACAGCTGCAGAGCTCTCTTGCTTTCACTGTCACCACATCCACCTTATTGTATAGAACAGTTTAGGGCAAAATTGGTTGCTTTGCAGTATTGTACTTTTTTTTTTTTTTTTAATTTGAAGGATGCTATGGGCCCATCTACCCCTTGCTCTCTTTTCTGACCTTTCCTATTTGCCACCTTGCTGTGCCCACTGTGGGTGCAAGGCTGGCAGCCTGCTGAACTGCAGAATCTTGCCACATGGCATGTGCTTTTGGGCAGGGTTTTGTGCTGGCTGACAGCGACACTGAACCATTGCAGTGGGGAAAAGCTAACAGCAGCAGCTGGAGTTAGTGTATCCTACATCACACAGGAACAGGGATGGAGATCCAAGAGCTCAGGGGGTTTTTATGGAGGTCTGTGGCAGTCTTGATGTGTGAGTGACTGGGGGAGATGAAAGCACATCTGGATGGGCTGAGGAATACATACGCACTGGAGGGATTTTGGGTGCTATATTTAATTCGATGCTTGTGCATTATGGTGGTTTTTTTCCCCCACCCCTTTTTAAAGTCTGCTTGCTTTTCTGGATAAGGAAAGACATGAGTGGTGCATATGGTTAGATAAATGTCTACTATGATTCTGCTATTGTGTGCTGGACCTTTAAAAATAAAGTGTTCCCTAGGCTGTAGTCTAGGAGGGATTGCTATGCATCAGTGCAAGATGGCCCTTACAGTGAGTTACATGCTTGTTTTTCTCTCATGTAGTTGTTGTTTCTCTCAGTGCTTGTTTGATTTAATTTGAAACAAAAGCTATTCTGGTTGTAGGTGATTTTGATTTAGCTGTTCAGGAAACAGAACAGGATTGGGTCTGTGGAAGACATCACTGAGGAAATCCTACAAGAACAACATGCTGCTTCACCCACCATCAAATGAAAGCCAGGCCTGGTCAGGATGTCTCCTCTGTACCACCCTGACCTACCTGTTAGGAGGACAGATTCTGAATTAAATGATAATCCACACTGATTTTCTTTTTCCTTCAAACTCTCTCCATCCAAACTAAGGGACCTTATATTATGCCCAACAGTCTGCTCTAGAAAGCTGAATAGATTTTTGGCTGCAAACCTCCTATCTGTATTCCTGATAATGTGATAATATCTAAGATACCAATTTCTTTAATCCAGATCTACTGGATGAAAGTCTCAAATATCAGGGTTATATCTAGACCAGCTCTTGGTCAGATGCTTCTACTGTGTCTATATTTTTGTCACAGAATCAGTTTGCTTGCATTATAGTTTGGGAATAAGAGACTCAGCAGCCTCTAAGCTGAACTCAGCCTCACAGAGTGCCTTCCTGAGGGGCTGTTTTATTCTCCTTGTTGTACCTTCCTGTCAAATGTGATGGGAAATCAATGATGAATAGGAGATCCCTAATCTCCATGGATACTTGTCCCTGCATGGTGTCAAAATCAGAATTGGATGTTTAGTTTTTCATATTTCACATATAACTAATTTACTTAAGAAGGGAATGGGAAAGGAGGAAGCTATTTGGGGTTGAAATAAAAAATGAGAGAAAGAAAATTTAGCAGTGGTTCTCAACTGGAGCTGCTGGAAGGCCTCCAGAATCCTGTCCCACGTCTGCAACCCCTCAGCTTGTCATCCGCTCTCACGCTTTGTTCTGTGCTCACAGTAGGGTCTCGGGGGAACACAGCTGCTGCAGCTGCTTGTAGACCAAAAGGTGACCTTTTGAGTAGCCGAGGAATGATGCATTATTTAGTACATTCCTGGCTAAAATGGAAACGAAATGATTTTGTGAGCAGAATAATTTGTTTGTGCTTCCACTTGGATGCATCCTCATTGCACCACACAATAGTATAGCGTGCACACCACACCTCATGGTTTCTTCTGGGTAGAGGTTTTGGTGAGGCAGGTATTGCACTTTGAGAAACACCGATTGTTAACTAGAAAGACCCTACTACCCAGATGTAACAAACTTTGATGTAGAGGTACTAAGTTTTCAAAAACTAACTTCTATTTAAATAACATGTAGGAGTGACAGCTTCCTGGTGAATTGTATGCCTCTAGATTATCAGCCGATACTGGTATGTACCATAACCAGCTGTTATTTCAACACAAAGTATTTTACTTGTTTCAAATAATCAAAAGGCTCTTGGAAGGTGCCATAGCAAGACATTAATTACCAGGATGTTTAATGAATAGAATATTTGTCATTTGCATAAACAAGAGGCTTCAGCAACTGCCTCCCAGTCATCTGTGATAGCCAGGTACTTAGACACTCTGCATATCTGTTGGGTGAAGGCAGGGAGGCAGATGGGAACAATTTTTCAGAATGCCTAACTAAGTTTCCTATGTGGTCTTTCAGACAGAGATTCAAAGAACCTGAAGCTGGATCATATCTCTCCTGCTGACTGCGAATGAAGACTGCACTATACTCTGCTGCTAGTCCATCTGCTCTTGAACTTTATAAATACATTTTAAAAGATTTATCTCATAGTGTTTTTTCTTTGAAGTTTCCAACGCCATTTATGAAGGCTTGAAAACGATATTATTCACATATTTCAGAGAGCTGAAATTGTCAAGGTAACAACTGATTTGAGAATGGAAAGTTTTGCCAGAGAGACGAGCACATGGAGGGACCTGGGGGAAGATCCAGTGCTTACCAGGGATTTTACTGAGCTCAACAAGCCCTGAAACATAGGAAGGAAAAGAAATCTGCACAAATGAAGAGGTGCCCATCAGACCGTGTTATCTCACTGCAAAGCCCAGTGGTAAAAATTCTCCATAAAATGATAGGTACCTGCTTTTATGGGCTTATTGGTAAAGGATTAGATGAGGTAAGGCAAGTAAGCAGGGATTCCATAAATCATAGAATCATAGAATGGTTTGGGTTGGAAGGGACCTTAAGGATCATCTATTTCCAAGCCCTCTGACCTTGGCTGGGACACCTTCCACTAGATCAGGCTGCTCAAAGCCCCATCCAGCCTGGCTTTGAGCACTGCCATGGATGGGACAGCCACAGCTTCTCTGGGCAACCTGTTCCAGTGTCTTATCACCCTGACAATAGAGAACTTCTTCCAGTGTTTGGCATTGTCTTAATTGTTACAACACACAACACAAGATGACAAAAAATTACCTTTCTACTCAGAAGATAAAATGCCTTTAAAAAGAAAGGAATGAAACACAGCTCTATGGTTTCTAGGATCCCAGTTAATTTAAATGAACATGACTAGAGAAGCACAAACACCTGAGCAGGACATTTCTCTGGCATATTCTTAACGACTCTGAGCCCTAACTTCCAACTACGGTGTCTGCTCATCCTATTGCAGCACCCTTCAAAACAGTATCCCCTGCAGGATCCAACAGATGTGGTCTGAGAGAAGAGCTGAGCACAAGCTGGTAAGCATTCACTGCAGGGAGTTCTAAGTGCTGTGGGATTTAGTCAAATCGCAAAGTACAAGCTTCTACTATGACTCATCTCGTGTAAAACTAGTGCTAAGTATTGTACATAATTAAGACAACATTATTACAGTGAGATAGCACTTCTTTTTTTGGCATGGTTAAAGTCTTGAAAAGGTGTAATGTTTTCAGCCTTCAGAGCTGTGAAGAAGATGCAGAGTTCTGATGGGAGTTCATTCTAAAAAATATCATGACTACAGTGAGTTTAGATCATAATTTGCGTTATTCCTGAAGCTCTGCATGTATATTTCAGTCATCTTCATGGAAGGTTGTGGTTTTGCTGAAAATAAACACAACCTTAAAGTAGCATTCATTAGATAAGACGTGCAACAACAGCGTTTCTAGGCATTCCAAGGCTTTTCTGATTTTTATCTCCAGAAATCACTTATTTTACTTTGAGTCACGTTCTTAAAGAGGTACTATTGGTATTTCAAATAATGGACACAAGGAATGACATTTACCATTGAATGCAATAGAAAATGTTGGCAACAGTGGTGTTAGCTATAGATTCAACACTTGAACATGATTGTCAGCAGGTATGGAACGGAAGTATTAAGTAGGCAATGGTCTTACCTATGGGAAAAGTTAAACAAATAGGTCATTACAACTTCCCCAAATTTTTATTTCAGGTATCAGAAAATCAACTTTGATTTTTATAAATGCATGTTCTTGATTAGAATTTATTGCAGTATAATGCAAAAAAAATCAGCTAATTGGTTGCTCAAAAGTCGTTTATTCAAGGTTACCTGTTTCTCATTATTCTGAACTAGTAACTGGTTTTTACGGCCTTATGATACTGTTTATGGTCATTCATTAGCTGTCTGACTTGAAAGCAAGAGGTGGGAAAGCAGACTGCAAGATGGTGACATGGAACTTTTTAAACAACAGGACTTTGGATGAACTCATTTCTATCCATGTATTCATTGAATGCTTTTGATGCATATTTATGCTCTCACTTGAAAATACATTGGCTACTTCTTCAAGCTAATGTTACTGCCCATTTTCTTATCATTTCCTAACATGCTGTTTGCACCCCATTTTCATGCACATCTCCAGGGAGCTATCCAAGTTACAGGGACTGAAGAGTTTCAGGAGGAATCCCAGACAAACAAGGCTGTTGGGTCAAGACACCTGAGCCACAGCCAGGGAGCCCCTTCTTTTTGTGTGAGTTGAACAAACTGTTATTTTTTACAAGTCTGAAGATTAAAAATTCCAAGGGCCTTTCTTAGAAAATGATAATTTAATATAAGAGATAGATCGATCAATTCCTGTTTTCTTTGCACTGCTGTTTTCCAGATGAGTTTCCAATCTATTAGCGAAGTAGTAAGTGCTCCCCTAGCAACAAACCATTGATGTTTTGAAAGAAAATCAAAAGCTGTACAAGGTTGTTGAAAAAAAAAGGCTTGAAGCAAAAGAGTGAAAGATCATACCATTCTTAAGAGGCTGCAAAAACTTGTGAAGATTAGAGCTGAGAGTGATGGGCCAGAGAGAGACCAAGGAGTCAAGGGGAAGGAATCTGCCTGCAGAGCTTTGCCCTAGCATGCCTTCTTTCAGGCTCACAACCTAAAACTTTATAGTGGTTGA